CTCTGAAAATATTCAACGCGGGCCGCGATGCTGGTAACAGAGGAAGAGGAAGGCCTCCTCTGCGTTGGAAAGACCAGGTGGAGAAGGACTTGGCTTCACTTGGCATTTTCAATTGGCGTCAGTTAGCACAGAAGAGAAATGACTGGCGTGCTGTTTTGCACTCGGCCAAAATCGCTTAGGCGGTTACAGCGCCAAATAAGAAGAAGAAGAAGTTATTTCAAATCGGTCGAAAAGTTAACATTTTTCGTTTTTTTGCCCTTTTGGATAGCGATCTACGTTTGTTGTAATATTCAAGCTCTTCAAAATAACTGTAATGAAAATGTACGAATACGAGTACAGCGTACATCTTGCAATAAGAATAGACTTTGGCTCTTTCTGAAGCCGTAACCGTATTTCTATGGCTGCAGTCGCTATTGTTTTTCCGATTGCATCATCTTTTTACATCAGGGCTGCATTTCTTTATCCATTCCGGATAATCTCATTTCATAGCCGGAATAAACAGAATGTGTTTGAAATATACGTTAACATATCATCAGGAACGTTCTAAAGAATAAGTAAACAAAAAAGTTCATTCCAAACGTTCAGAATGAATAAATAAATTCAGCCCAGATACAATGTGAGCATTTAGTTTTATTGCCTTTTGGCTTTGTTTCTTTAATGCATATAAATATTGGAATACATATTATTATTTTTGCATTGTTTGTTAAAAAGGTCTGTTTGTTTTGACTTTATCTCTTTACAAAAGCAAAGGGGAAGTGGCAAGGATATGTATGAAAATACACATTCGCTGCGGTCTGTAATTTGACTGCGCACGTCCATGCCAAGTTGATGGCGGAGTTGGTTGGACAGTTGCGGTGATTGTGGTTATAGACAATGGCTATATAATATTTAATGTACATACATATATGCATATATACATATAGTATATGTACATATATATATCTGTTTACGCGGATTATATCCGTACCGGCTACCTTTGCAGTTATTTGTTGTTCTGAGTTGCCATTACAGGAGGTTTTTTTATTGTTGACATTATTTTTTGTGCAGAAGATCGCCTTAGCTCGTAGCTGAAATCCTGCGCTTGAAATGCGCATTCACGACTTTAATACATTCGGTTTGCCGCAGATGTGGGAGGCGGTGGTCGATGGGCTTAGTTACGCGTACATATGTACATACATACATACACAATAAAGTCCTTTCTTTATTTTTTGTACCATTCTTTCCTCACATTTTTTATTGTGTTTTATTCATTGTTTTCGTGTTTACTGCTCAACAGCTTATGCTTCAGTTAAAATGCAAACGTACATATTATACCAAATAAGCACATACTTCTTCGTACTTGCGTACGTCCATACAAACACAAAGGAAGTTTTACGTGTTGCAACTGTCAGTGCTTCGTTATTATCTAAATTTATGTTCATTTTGTTCTTGTTTTGTGCTTTTGAAATTCAGTGTGACGATCATGATACAATAATTTTTAGAAGGTAGTTTCACTTCAAAATTTTTGACATAAACCGTGTCTGTGACAAACGAGCAATGTGGCCACTGCTACGATATAGAACTTGGGGATTATCGCTTGTTATTTTAGATATTTTTTAACAGAACATGTAAAGATTTATATGTTTCATAACTGATCACTTAATTTTTAATATAAATATACCTATTTTATACATACATTTTTGCCACTGCTAATCACATGAATAAAAATCATAAAAATGAAAATATGACAGCAATATTTCTTGTTTATAATGGATTAGATCCATCGCACACCACGGACTTTATGGGCCGCCAATTTAGATGTGCTCGCTAGTCTTTCCATTGCACCACAACCTATTGGTCAGAGCGATTAAGCTGGGGTAATGGCGCACCTCCATACATCTTCATGTACATATTTCAAGCGAGCCCTATCATTTAAATAGGCGGCCGATAAAGTCTTTGGTGAGCGGTGGCTCTTATAGCTGTGTCCTTACATCTATTCCGTGTGTTGCAATATCCAGGAAAGCAGCAGTTAATTTTTTATGAAGAAAATTATTACAAAATATTCGAAAATTTCTCTACTTATATGTTTGGCTTTTCTTTCTTTTATTTTTCCAACATCAAAAGCTGGATTTTTTTTTTTTGAAAAAGTTGGTACAACAAAAAATACGAAACACGTTTTCTGTCAGATAGCTAACATGGCGGATAAGAAGAAGAAGTGAAACTACCTTCTAAAAATTATTGTATCATGGTGACGATAATATTCCTTAAGTCGTTTCGGTTCAGTTCACTAATGTGACTTTTGACATGCTCAAAATTTATTTTAAGCATCGAAATGATTCAAAATTTGGGGATAGGGTGCGTTGGCAAAACAATAAGACCCTAACGATCGATAGTCTCATTGTCGAGGCATTCGAGTTTTGAAATTAGTTAGAGGACTTCAAGTCGTTCGATCGGGGTTTCATGGGTATGTCGTTCGGCGCATTCTATTCTGTGGAATCATTGTTTGATAATGAGCATGCCTCCTCATCCCGCAAAGCTTTTGAACCATATGCTAAGCTGAAATAGACCTGGCCAGTATACTTTTGGCGGAAACAATAGCGCTACCGGAACTGGTTTATGTTAGTTCCATCTTCTGGGTTGAAAACAAAATCTTTAAATGGTTTCTTCAGAAAAGGAAATTTACTCAGGCCCTTACTCAAGCTCTGCTGTTACCTCTAGCCGTGATGGTTCTCACCTATACGTTTTGGGTTCCTGGGCCTACGGAACTGGACAGCCAATGTGTTAGCAAGTACGGGAACCAATACTCAGTTAACTCTCTGCATAGAGCCGGAATATCACTATCGTCTTGCAAGAACCGACTTAGAGCACTCCTCACCAAACTAGCGAATGATAGGTTGAAAATGGAATACAAAAGTTGGATTAAAAGACAGATTTGGCTGCATTCGATGAAGAAAGATTTATGACGTTGAACTCCCTTCAATGTGTTTGTATGATTAACCCATCGTTGCATGAGTAAATTATTTTATGATATACCATGTTTATACGAACAAAATTACCGACTTCCTTAAAAACGTCACGACTCACTTCACTTATTTTCTCAGTGTTTATACTCTCAACTTTTTACCGTAACCGGAGAAAGCGATCTGAAAAGTTTATATCTCAGCTGTTTTTGACACTTGAAAAAATAAAACCAAAATGGAAAACAATTATTTGGATTTTATTTCTGTTATTATTGCAAAATCTATCCAAAAGAGAAGAAATATTTTAACAACTCAGCTGGTGAAAACAAATAATGAAATTTTAAGTCAAATCGCCCAGCAAGGAAAAGTTATGAAGCAGAAGGCAATCATACAAAGGAATGGAAGCTTGCTGGAAAATTATTTCTCTTTAAATGTTCCACGATTGCGTAGTCTTCTTTGCAAACTTCGCCGAATTGGGCGATGCTGTCGTTCACCGTTCGCCCAGCTATTTCGCCTACTTAAACAGAATTAGAGCGGTAGCGAAAACAGCTGATCCCATTTGGTCGCCTTTATAATTTGGGTGACCATATTTAGAAAAAACTAAACCATATTTAGAAATGGGGAAATTATAACAAATATAAATGTAAAACAAAGAAAGATTATTATAAATAATTTGTTTCAAGCCAGATTTAACGAATCCACAACTATATTTTTCAAACAACAAAAAAAAATCGTGTTTAGGTTGTTTTCTTTTAAAACTTTGAAAGCAAAAAACAAATACGGCCACCTTTGGCACGCACAGCTGTCATCGCCCAGCAGGGCGATAGAAATAAATCTATCGCCATGAAACGCCACCAAGCGTACTTCGCATTTCGCTTTGGCTGTGTTCAATTTCTAGAGTCCGACCGATTCCAGTTTTTTTTCAGGTACCGATGCCGATACCGATTAATCGGCTTATGGGGAAAGAACCGGCCGATGCCGATGCCGATTCCGTAAAAAATTACAAACAAATGTATTAATTCATAAAAACAGTTTATTTAACGTAGTTAACAAAACAAAAGAAACAAATAATTGAATTAATTGGCTTGTTATGCAATATTACATACACATGTGGGTGAGATTATTATGTACATATATCACATTTATGTACATTACATAAAACCCTTTTTTATAGTGCTTAGCAAGAAATAGGAACATAAAATTTCATTTCGGTTTGTACTCAAATACACTCTTGCACTCAATGCATAAGAACTTAAATGCTAGGCATGTACATACATATGTACGTCTTTAAATTAATAGTCAAAGTTGAATAATTTAATATTGTAATGCAAAAATAGAAGCTTATTGGCGTTTTCTCCGAGTAAATTGGTACGCCTATCGCTATAGAGCTGACCCGCAGCACTGAAAAGCTGTTCACTCGCAACGCTTGACGCCGGAGCTGACATATATTTGGTAGCTATTTTTTTCAAGAGAAAATATGGACTCTGATGCCAATATTCAAAAATATTACTATCCCGAGGAATACGTTGGTCATTAAGATAGGAATCAAGCTGTTTTTTTAATTGTGATATACCTTCTTTCACTTCAATACCTTGAGATAATATATCAGAATCGTGAGATTCCCAAAGATTGTTAGTGTGAATTGTTTCAGAGGAGCGAGTGGGAGAAACAGCTGGTAAAACTTCCAACGAATCTTCATTTGTATTTATTTGTTCTTTCAATAGAGTTTCACATCTACGAGTTTCTGCGGTTGAGAAATATTTTTGTTTAAAACGCGGGTCAAGTAGTGTGGAAATAAGCAACTCTGTATTTGTCTTAATAAATTCGAATCGCCGCGATAAAGACGTTTTTAAATTTACCTTTAGCATCGCAATTTCAGCACCGTCGTTATCATTAGATTCGAGCTTAATTTGAATCATGGAAATTAAAGGTATTATGACAGATGCACACGTAGACTCATAAGACAGATCAAGAGTTGCTTGGTAAAACGGCTTTAATACTGATATTACATTAGATATATCCGCCCATTCACTAACAGACAATATTTCTATAGAACCACGATCTGCTATATATAAATTAATGGCAGCCTTCTGCTCGTATAATCTACTTAACATCAAATATGTACTATTCCATCTGCAAACAACATCTTGTATTAGTGAATGATTAGGCAAACCAAGCGTTTCTTGGCATTTTTTTAAGTAGCGACATGCCTGCTCACTTCTCTTAAAATGTCCCACAATTTTTCGGCATTTGTGTGATATATCTTGAATATTTTTCCGGTTATAAATTGCGTCCTGAATCACAAGTTGCAAATTATGTGCCGTACACCCAAACCATTTAATATTACCCAACTTCATTGCTGCTCTCATATTTGCAGCATTGTCAGTTACCGCCAAATGAATTTTTGACCGAATGTTGTATTCTTCTATAACTTTGTTTAAATCAGCAAAAATATTTTGAGCGGTATGATCAGTTTCCAGAACGCTAGCTGCCAAAATAACTTTTAGCCTACGAGGCCCTTCTAAGAAATGTGCTGTAAAACTGAGCAAGGAGCATGATTTGGTGGAGTTGCTCCAGATATCAGTTGTGAAACTGATCCATTCCGCATTTGCTATGAGATAAGTAACTTTGTGCTTTATCTTATCGTAGGTTGCTGGCATCAACGTAGTCCGGAAAAACTTTTCGCTCTTTTTGCGATATCTGCTATCGCCGCTTGGATCACAAATGTTAAATGTTAAACGCATTACCTTCAACTATATTGTAGGGCAGCATATCGACAATAATTAAATCCATTATGGATTTGTCGATTCGCAAGGTCACTGGATGATCGTCTGGGTAACAATATCCACTTTTCCTCTGGAGTAAGCTCGGCAGCGTTTCTTGGAGTGTGCTGGAAGTTGGATCCGTCTTTTTTTGCTTTTTCACTCCTGCTAAAAATTCATCCTGCTCTTTAAGGTAAATTTTCCACTCATTTTTGTGAGCTGTCTGCAAATGTTTTTTGATGTTGGCTGTTGTTTGTCGCCTCTTATTTACGTTACCAAGATATATTGCCTTTGAACATATTTCACACTTTGCTGTGCTCGAATTTCTTTGGATAAACTTCCAAATAAGGTTTGCCTGAGCCATTATTCCTAAAAACATAAAAGTTTGTAAGATTTAACTGATAATAAATTGCACTTACTTACCAGGAATTACAAAAAGCGCGAATTTGTGGCCAATTTCTATTGAAAAATCAAACGTCAACATATATGTACATACGAAAAACAAAAGAGAATAATCAGAACAAAATGTGAGAAAGAAACACAACTTTTACAGGACAATTCAAATGAAAAATTTTTGAGACAAGATAAAGGGTATTCAACTGAAATAAAGTATAAAGTCCATATGAAAAGCAATTTCAAATAATCGGAAAAGAATCGGCAAAAAAGTGCCGATGCCGATGCCGATGCCCAAGAATGATAGAATACAAGATTGCGCCGTCCTGGCCATTGACATTTGTGTACCACTAGTAAACAAAGAATAGAGACAAAAGTAGAACGAGTTCAAACTGTCAAAACAGTTCACTTTACAGCGAAAGTGGTGTTTTAATTTTGATCAATGCGAGAATATTGCGTTTTTCATCTAATCTATTGGAGAATAGTGAACGTTTTAGTGCACTCCATGCTTTGCAATTAAGGCTGCTGCAGCAAACGTTTTAGTGTACTCCATTGCTTTGCAATTAAGGCTGGTGCAGCAAACTAAGGCTGGTGCAGCAAACTGCGCCAGCATCTGAGTGGGATTGATTAGTTAACTTGCTAAAGGAGGCTGCTTGGAGCAGAACCGATATGATTGTGATAAAATGCTGTAAATATAATAATAAAAAAACATTTCGGCTTTGGCACGCCCTGTATACACAAAATGCAGCGATTCGTCGCAGCGTTACATTTGCATCTACGCATAACGAGATGGGGCACCATGGCACACTTCATGGAAGGACAACAGCGCGAATCGGAGCCATGCAGTGTGCATGAGTGCAGTACTACCAACAGCTGTTCCTGCAAATCGTGAATATCGTGAAGCATCTGGAACGCAACTATTATTTCGTACCTTGGTCGTTTACGCAACATACCTGAAGAGCTGGAACAAAGATATAAATCACAGGGATTGATCCGGCCCAATAAATATGCAGGTTAATTGGTGATAATTGAAAACGCAATTTCTATAATTATGTATTTATATTATACACATTTGTAAATATAGGGAAAACTTTTGCTTTTTGTCGCAGGCGAATCGAGAAAATCTACTTTCCTCAAAGAGATGCGTATAATACGTGGCATTATTTATGAACTCGAACTTATTCCAGAATACAGTGAGAAGTGATATATCAAAATGTATTACGAGGTAAGCTTTAAATCATTTTTTCCAATAAGATCTGTAAAAGAACTAATCAGGAATCTTTGTTTGAAGGAAAGCACGTATTGATTGATGCTCGTCAAAAACTGGGAATCCCATAGGGAAACACCGAACAAGAAACAATGCGAAATAGGCGAAATTAATTGAATGTAGTAAAGTGGAAATCGACAATTTCATACAGTGGGCTCCATATATTCGTAGACTATGGCAAGATCCTTTTGTAGTTTTCTACTTCAATATTGACATAACTCCAAAACCAAACGCTCGAAAAAACTGTTTTTAAGTTTTGAATTTTACCTTAATTTAGAAAGGCCCCTATCGTCGCTGAAATATAAAAAAGCCATAACTAACTATAATTTATATTGCATAAACGATGAAACGCATCATAATCAATCGAAAAGCGAGTTTTGCATATTGAGTTAGTTACGGCATTTTGTATTTTAACGACGATGTGAGATATGGCCCTTCTATGTTAAGGTAACGATATACTCCCATATCAAAAATGAATACTTATTTTGCTCTACTGAGCTAGTGGTAATCAGTGCAGGGGGAGATTCCGTAACCAGTTAGCGACAATTTGCGAATCGCTAACTGGTTATAAGATCTCCCACCAGATATGAAAGTACACAACATAGAAGAGCAGTTAGCATCCATTTCTCTATACTTAACTCGATTTTGTATTATATTGGACATTGAGATTATGACACTATTGAAGTAAATGAGCAATATGTAAACACAAATTTTTTTGTCTTTTTGTTAATTTAATTTGCGGCCCTGAAAAGGGCCTTTTGCACATTTCCATATACATATGCATGTAAACACAAAAATGATGGCCTAATTTAATTTGTACTTTTGAAAGCATAAATAATTGTCTCTTTGTAAATTAATTGGCGGCCCTGAAAAGGGCCTTTGATTCATTCATGTTATTCTCCTGCAAATAAATAAATATGGATATTTTTTTATACAAGATGCCAGATTATTTGTTAAACTCATAGGCTTACGTTGCATCCATGCCTTATAATTTTAGGCGGCTTAAACATTGAGCTTACTTTGCGGGAACTGCGGACGTTGCTTATACAGCAGCCTGTATGCCTTTGGACTGGCAGCATACAATGTAATTGACTGTTCAATATCCTCCTCCGCCCAATTTCGTCGCTTCGACCCAGTCTTCAGTTTGTCTATCTGACCTTTGGTGAATATAGAAGCCAGTTTATCTTCTATATTTCCCATTTCGGCAGCCATTGCATCTAAACTCTTTTTCAACAGCTCTACTGCCCACGCGTGCTTCTTCAGCTGAAGGTCAGACTCCCGCTTTAATGTAGCGATCTCGGTACTCTGCTTAGCGGTTTGCTTTTTGAGGATTGCATTTTCGCGCTTCAATGTCGCTCTGCAAGAAGTAGAAAATATAAGTTATGATTTGATTTGCACATTATGATCTTGAAATTATTAACGTACACTTCCGCTTTTAACATTTCCACTTCTTGAAGATCGCCGTCATAGTAAACCCAGTTACGAATTGGTGATGTCGAAGCATCAAGAGTACCGTCCTTGGGTCGATATTCTGTATTGCTTTCAACCACTGTAACAAACCCCTTAGATTAATAATATAATTTTAAGGGCGTACTATTTTTACTACCTTCGCAACTACCTAGCTCAAGCAGCTCCATATTGTGGTCATCATGCGGTTGAGACTCTGCTACAGGTATAGCACACACAGAAATGGATGGCACCGCATCGCGCCTGAGTAACGGGCGTTTAGCCAATCCTAATCCTTTTATTAGATATCTACGTAATTCAAAGTAAATGCTACTTACCCGCTTTGTACTGCATAACATTTTGATAATCATCGTCGGTAAAGTGCTTCATGCATATGAAGCTGGTATCCAAATTGAATGGCTTTACTTGCCCGCAGAATTCCACCCACTTTCTCGCCACGGCATCGTTGCGAGGAAAGGAAAAAAAGCTGCATTTAGAGGCACTACCTTGACGGCTGTCGCAATTTAATACACGGCACTTCATTTTATCAGTTTTTACACACTACTCAACTGAAAAATCACTAAAAAATTGCAAATTAACACGATTTTAACCGATTTTTCACTAATAATTCAAATTTCTCTATACAACTTATTTGTAAACAAAAGTTTATTTACGAGTTACCACAACTGTCAAAATCGGCAAAACCAAAGTAGCGGTACCTCTGACGGCGCCACCTTTGTTTCGCTGCACCGTGGCCGATGCCGATGCTAAATTTTGTGCCGATACTTGCCGATGCCGATGCCGATGCCGATTAATCGGTCGGACTCTATCAATTTCATATGCTTGCGGGTGTTCTAATTTTGACAGCGCGAATTTCGCTGTGGTGAGTTCGCCGTTCGCCGGCATTGTATTTCAGCTATAACTCTTCAACTACCTAGCAATGCGCAGTTGTACTTTGAATGCTTTCGGATGAGCTTACAGTCTTCTGAATTACTTTGCAAAACATTAGAACCATTGCTGATCTCCGAAGCAATTACTTCGTATGTAACGCCACCTTTACCTTTGGAGAAACAAGTAGCCATATGTGTTTATAAGCTGGCATCATGTGCAGAGTATAGGGTCGTCGGTGATGTTTTCGGTGTTCATAAGAGCACGGTTCATATATATTTTCACCGTGTTGGGAAAGCTCTTATTCAACTCAAAAATGAGTTCATTAAATTCCCCGATTTGGAAAAATGTCTACGCATTGCTAGTGATTTCGAAAAAAGGTCGCATATTCCCAACATTATTGGCGCAATAGACGGTAACAACAATATTAACTAAATAACTTAAATATTGAAACATATCTCCAGGTACACATATTCCGATTCTCCCACCTAGCGAAGGGTATTTGGATTACATAAACCGGAAAGGTTGGCCTTCCATTGTAATGCAGGGCGTAGTCGACAACCAGTACTTGTACGTGCACAAACGAAAAGTATAAAACATATGTACAAATACTTATACAACTTATTTGTCCACAAAGGTTCACCGATGTTAGTGTAAAGCTTCCGGGAAGTACCCACGATGCTACAGCCTTTAAAGAATCTGGCCTCTACCAAAAATCCAGTCAGTTGATTCCCCAATATACTAAAGCATTGAATGGAATGGAGATTCCACTTTTTTTGGTTGGTGATCCAGCTTATCCACTTTTGACATGGTTATTGAAGCCATATACCGGGAGCTTGAGTCCAGAAGAGGAATCTTTCAATTGCCATCTGAGCTCAGCCCGGATAGTAGTGGAGAATGCTTTTGGAAGGCTAAAAGGCAGATGGCGGTGCATTGGAAAACGAATAGATGTAAATCCATCGTTTGTACCGCAAGTGGTTTTAGCATGCACTATTTTACACAACTTTGTTGAAAAACAAAAAGAAGTGTATTTAGAATCTTGGTCTTATGGGCACCAAGAATATCAACAACCACAAGATTTTATTTCCCTAGAGGTACTTGTGGATGGAAATGTTGATCCGAAGGATTTAAGAAACCACCTAAAAACACATTTAAAA